AACAACAGTCTAATATGCATCCAAGGTCAAAAAACACTTTCATGGTTTTATAATCTGCATTTATTTTTACCTAATTATCCCAGCGACTCCCATATCAATCGTTCAGCGATCAAATTTTTTTTTTTTCCCTCCTTAGCGCGAAGCTAATCTGCGCTGATTGGATCGATGTCAGCCTGTTTCGATTGGTCGACACTGACAGCCTTCAGCGTGAGACAGAGTGAAATGTCCAGCAGCTAATCAACAATATAAAAGTAGTCACATTGCATACATGCTTTATAGTGTGAGGTGTGGATTTTGGCTGCCAGTTGTTGAATGTAAATACAGACGATAGACTTGAAAAACTCCAGTAACTAGGGAGAAGATCAACACGTGTCCTAGGCATCTCACTCTACCTGCTCTTTTCTTCTTTCTCACACACACACACACACACACACACACACACACACACACACACACACACACACACACACACACACACACACTACCCTTCTCCTCAGAAGAACTTGAGAGAGATGAATACCAGCCCCTCACACGCTACCTGCGCTTTTTTCACACACACATTACTCTCCTCCTCAGAGGACACAACACCAAAACATTCAAAAACACAATACATAGAATCCACTTTCGGGTTGAGGGCAGTGAACTATTTTAAAACTTGACCGTTGCAGGTGTGTACAGCTGACGATCCGTAAACAAAGCGGCACGCGTCGAGTTTTCAATGTGGCTTTACATGTGATATGAAAATATAAAGAGTTAACCTGATACAGTACAAGCGGTTACAAGTAACAAATCACAACTAAATACATAAATTGCAAGCTAGAGTAAACGAGGCAACAATTTTAATCGCACGTACTTACAATTGTGATCCATGATGCACTGTTCCGTGTTCTGACAGTCTTTACTGATCCTTCCTTTAACAAACGGCCAATGAATTCTTCTTTGTAAGCATGTAGTTTCCAGAAGCACTGCACAGGGCTGGGCTATAATGCTGAGGTATTTTTTGCAAAAATAAACCTCAACCACTTTACAGTTTCATCTTCGGGTAGAGACTGTCAATAATATCCATCTGCACAGCTCGACTTCATTCGACCGGCGTGTGCATGTGTGTGTGTGTGCCTTTTGCTTCTGTGTTAGTGGGCAGGGCCTCAGGTTTCAAATCTCCCGGGTTTGCGCGCACAACTACTTGTTTCGTAGCCGCATCATCGCAAAACACCTATTGACTCGTTATCAAGACGACTCGTTTGAAGCACTGTTAGTTGACTCTTTTATAGATGAATCAACAGTTTTTAAACACTGTACACTTACAGATTTAAGCCTTAGATGGATATTTCACTTCACTTAGAGCTGTGTTACACACTATGGAAGGTTATTTTCAAAAACCCATAATATGGGCTCTTTAATTTACTATTTATTTTATTTGTTCAATTTAGTATTTTTTATGACGTTAACTGTAAAACAACAACAAATAAATTGAGTTTAAATAAATTAAACTCTGTCAAAGCCACCCCCCCCCCTCATTCAGATGCAAAAACATTGTTAGCATCTCTGTCTCCCATATTTATTCTCAGTTATTTTACATTAAAAACAGTGAAACTAATATATTATTTGCCATAAAATTTAAATTACTGAGCCTGCACACAGTTTTTTTTTATATTTGTGTATGAGCACCTGTAAACCATAAAAAAAGAAACTCCTTGTGGTTTTTGCACTCACTTGGTGAATAAAGCCCATTCTGATTCTAATTAATTAGGAATGGATAACAACCTAGATATAGATCCCAATGGAGGCGCTTCTTGTAGTTTGTATGGTTGGATTTTTTCCCTGTCTGGTTCCACACACATTTGGGAAAGCATCTAGACCAAGTGTGCCGCAAGCCTGCGTTTGAGTGAAGGTCTCTGCCGTTAGATCGCCCCCTGGGGGCTGGCTGCAGTACAAGTCATAAAGCCCGCCTCCTCCGTGTTAATGAAGGAGACTTGAGCCCAAATAAAAAAATGTATTACACTTGCAATAAAATGTCCCGAAAGATGGTTCTGGTGGATTAAGGCACTGGTTATTGTGCTGAAATAGGTGCAGATCTTCATTTTTGTAAACAGTTTGTTTTTAGCAGTAATTTAATGCTGGGCGTGTCATCGTGATTGACAGTTGTGATTGACAGTTTATCAAAGCAGCGCGTCTGAGCTTCGGCAGGAGACTAAAGTGTTATTATTCGCTTTCTGTGTTATTTTACCATGACAAAATGAGTTCAGCAGTAAACTACAGTTTCTGACATACATGATCCTGGTGGAACACTGTTTATTCTCTAAGGTCAGGGCTTTTTTCGGGCTTTATTAGTTTGCTGATACATGCCTATCCACCCAAATAGCAAAATATACTCGGGCCAGTACAGGCTAGATTCTCGCCTGCTGGAGACTTACTCCTCAGAGCTCAGACTGACTACCTATGCTGGACCTACTCCGGATGCCTGTACTCACTGCCCGATTCCAGCCCGAGTCAATCGAGCCGGCGCTGTCACATGCGAGCCGGAATCAACCCGCGACGCCGTGAGTATGTTATGCGCTGCGGCCCGGAGCTGGCGCGATGGAATATATAAAGCCCTCATATTTGTTAACGTTATTACATCCATTTGTGTTGATATGACCGCAAACGCATGCTGAGAAGTTCGGGGGGCGTGGTTGATTTTACATAAAGCGTTTGGTTGGAAGCTCGGCTCCGCTCATTTTCGCGGCTCCTCCTCTGGCTCCATCAGACAGTCCTTCTGCGCATGTCAAGGCTCCAATTTCAGCAGTCGTTTGCGACAGTTTGTGCCCGTCAAGCAGGCGTTTTGCCCTCAAGGCGTTTAATGGGAAAAGGGGCTGTCACGTCGTCCATATTTTTTACAGTCATTGATCTAGACACAATAGTCTAGTAAAAAGTCAGTTGATTGTATTGTAAGTGATCAACAGAGAAATCTGATAGAATGGTAGTACAGTATTTTGAGTGATTTCTGTACTGTCTGTTCTCAGTGCTGGACTCAAATCAGCGCTGACCTCAGACTTCCTCGAGACAGAGGTTTATATTTCTTTTGTGATTGATTACAGGATTGTATTGTTTTATTGTAGTGGTGATATTGCTGAGTAGCCATAATGTAAACCTACTAAACAGAAAAAGACAAAGTTACTGTTACTGTGTACATGTAAATATCACAGTGTAATTTGAAGGCTTTTTTATGCATTTTAACATTTTGATTTGAACAAAAAATATATTCACTGCTGTATAAAAATATTGAAAATGTATTTAACAGGGTATCCTCAGGGTCTTAAACTGTCTAAAAAGATCAACTTTAGGCGTTAAAGTCTTAAATTTGCTGAAATTTTGTGTTGTAGCTCTTAAATGTTTTTTAATAGGTCTTCATTTTCCTTTGTTCATAGCTACCCAATCTGGCCATTACTACACATACAATCTATCGCAATAAATATAAACAAAAGCATTTAATTATTTTCATTACAGTAACATTTTGCTTAAATATTCTCCATTTATTTAGTGCTGAGGATACTGACCTGGCCTATATTTTTTATAATGAAATTATTATTATTGTAGACTGAAGTTTTTGACAGCTATGTTTTGTTCTATTGTTGATAAGGGTTATAGGGTTTGTGAATGGATATATTTGAAAATTAATAATAATATATATTTGAACTAAATTATTATTATTGTATTATTAAATGTATTAAATTGTAATCATTTTTTGATGGGGCAAGTGAAAATCTATTTGTAGTGGTATAATCTAAGCATTTAGCCCCATATAAGTCTAATTTCCTTTATAATAGTCTTAAAAGCGTACTCGCACTATGTACAGTTGCCTTGAACCAGACCAAAGCACGCTTGTCCCCCTCCCGTCTCCCCCGACAGCCCAGACTCTCATTACATTCGGGCCTGGGCATTCTTACGTCATTGAAGAAGCGCTGTTTAGTAGAGAAGCACTCTCGCTTAGCACAGTGAAGAGTTCTTTAGTTATATTCTTTTAGTCGTTTGGGATGCAGTGACGCAGTCAGATATTTCGCCGAACTGATCCGCCACTTTTGATGCTTATAAACAATCATAAAAGTCCTCGTGCTACAGGAATTAGGAGATTTGCTGAAGGTGCAGTTGTCGTGCAGTGAGGGGTTTGTGTCTTTATTAATCTACGACAGTTTGCGTTTATTAAACAGTAAGAATTATTAATAAAATCCATATAAAACAATCCCGTAAAAGTCACGTCTTGTCTTCAGTTTCGGGCTCTGTTGCTTTGCACTCACACTACAAGCGTACCGCACCAAAGCCCAAGTGAACTGCACTCTGACACACCTCTTCCAATCTGGCCAGGGCCGGCCAAGTGAACCGTGCCTAAGCCCGATTCAGAGCACTTACTGTACTCTTCTCAAATGATCCGGGAGACGGGCCTGGGCACGGTTCGGATAGCATAGTGCGAGTACGCCCTTAGTCTTAAATTTAACTTGGTGAAACCTGCAGAAACCCTGATTTAAATTTATGTAACATTCATGAACTTGCACTTTAGACCAATGAAATGCATCACTGATTTATTAACTTATTTAGTTAGCTATTTTATTTATTTTTTAATGATGATTTTGAATGGTAATTCATCAGTTGCAAGAATATGAGGCAGCACAGCTGTTATCGACAGTAATCTGAAATCTTTCAACAAACATTAGAATCACTGGAGGATCATGTGACACTGTAGACAGGAGTAATTATGAACATTCAGCATTGCCATCAGAGAAATAAATTACATTGAAGAAAATATTCACACAAACAGTTGTTATTTTGATTTAAAAATAATTGTCACAATATCACTGCTTTTTAAAATCATTATTAATAAATAAATGCAGCCTCCAAACTTTGACCAGTAGTGTGTATTAAATACAAACATGTCTATATGTGTGTGTGTGTGTGTGTGTGTGTGTGTGTGTGTGCGTGTGCGTGTGCGTGTGCGTGTGCGTGTGTGTGCGTGTGTGTGTGTGCAGGTGCCTGGCTGAAGAGCAGTCTTGGATACGTCCAGAGAGAGGGCAAGCAGTTGACTCTCACGTACATTGCCCCTCAGCTTGGCTATTGGGTCGCAGCAATGTCTCCTATCAACACAGGTAACAATCATCATCCATTACTAGGCCTTTTTTATTTGAAATATTGTTGGATGAGTGTCCATTCTTTGATTCTTTTATATAGCCATTAATGGAGAGAGGAGCCCAGCAGGCAGACATTACAAGTGCTTAGTAGCAGACCGAGTTATTGACTTGTAGAGTTGTTTGCACATTCACTGTGCTATTCATATCTGCTAGCTAAAAGAATGATGTCATTATGCCAGGGGTCATGGCTTTCAGCATGAAAACGATGCTTCTAGGACATCTCTGCTGTTGAGGAGTGCTATTGATGGATACTGTAAAGGAGAGAAGTGGTACATGGTAAATGTGAATGGATTCATCGATGCTGAAAACCAAGTGTGCATGTTCTGTTGTAGGTCCGGTGGTAGCAAAGGACATTAGCACTTACCACACAGTCTTCCTGCTGGTCATACTAGGGGGAATGGCCCTCATACTGCTGTTCCTGCTCTGCCTGCTGCTCTACTATTGCAGGTGAGTCTTATTTTGGGGAAGAACAAAGCCTAATAAAAATATCTGGGAAGATCATAAGATCATTTGCACAGGGTAGAAATGTGAACTTTGTTATAGGAACTAGTCACCAGGTTGATTCACTGAGAACTAGTTTTCCCCTGTGCCTGGCAAGGTTATAATGGTTTTTGATTTTTCATTAGTTTTAGTTTTTATTTTGTTTTGTCTTTTTGTTATCAAATTCAGTTAGTTTTAATTAGTTTTTAGAGGCGGATTTACCAGTTTTTATTAGTTTCTATATATTGAAATTGCATTGTTTTAGTTTAGTTTCTATTAGTTTCAGTATTGGTTTGTTTTTATAATTTTTTTTATTTTGTAAATAAGGATATTTGTTAGGTGCAAGATTCAAAATGATCAGAATATATATTTATTATAAAAACTCAAATACATTTTTTGAAACGTATTCAGAGGACACATGACCTCGATCATCTTACCATCCTCAAATTCAAATATAACAGCACAAGATAGCAACCCTAAGTACAGTAAAATATGCTTTTGCGGTTAGATGCACAGTAGTGATGTGAAGTTCGGATCTTTAAATTGAACCTGATTTTTGTGACGCTCCTCACATGTTTGGACTCAGCAAATTATTATATATGTAGTCAGCAATCATAATTTTAATCATTTAAATCATCACCATGATCTGAATAGTTTCTTACGATTAAATTTTGCAACAATACTGAAGCACAATTCACTTCTTAAAATTCCATTACGACTTTCTGTTATGAAATAAACATGCATTTCTCCAGATCCTTTCATTTAAGCCCTCGATTTACCTGTGCTGCAATTGTTCATGTTTGCTTTAGTCACTGTCATGTACTGTTTGTGTTCAGTTTACTGAATCACGCATGCGCAGTATTATCGGTTCACCAATTTTACAAGTCAGATCTCAGTGTACTATTCTAATAACTGAACAACTCAGGAAATTGGGTTATTTTGAGTCAGAGGGGGTATCGGGCACATTATAAAATAAGTAGTTTGTGGATAAGTGCTTTCTGGAGACGCGAATAGTTTTAAATAATTCGGTGAACAAGTTCAACCGATTCACTCAGAAGATCGAGTCAGGATCACTAATACAGAAATAAAATCCATTATTGGGCACAAATGTGTTAAATTAATATTTTAAAGTCACTGCTCGGGTTGTATTTATTGCTGTCACCGTGCTGCTGTCATGTCCACTCGTTTTTGTTGTGGGAGCAATACCATGGATGACTGCAGAAGAACTAGGCTTACCTGGCCAAGGGCATGGTTGTTGCTAGATCAGATATGCATGTGGCCGGAAGTTAACGAGAACTATTTATATTATTTAGAAATTTTCCCATTTATTGTATTTTATTAACGTCTTCCCCCACTCCAGCTATCACAGTAATGTAAAAACAGTATTTTTACCAAGTATAATGTATGTTATGTATTAAATTACCCAATAAATTGTATTTTTAATGCCAACCTTCACCCCTAAACAGTCACAGTACTGTAAAAATATTCATTATTGTTATACAGTGTCATAAAAATGCTGCTATATTGATGTGCATATTACAGTTCTGGCCGGCTGCTTATCCGATCTAGACTTACCCAATGGCATCAGCATTACTGACTGTAAGGGAGCTAGGTGCCATTCAGGTCAAACACCTGGCAGTGCGAAGCAAATAGATTTACTTCTAAAAGTCATACAGTAGGCTTATGTATTAAATACACTTAAAAGACAAAAATGAAAAATGTTTTTGCTATAATTTTAGTTAGTTTCAGGTTTTTTTTTTTTAAATCTGTTTTTTATTTTTACTTTAGTTAACGAAAATGTTTTAATTTAAGTTGCTTTTTTATTTTTTATTTTTTACTATTTTCATTAACTATAATAACATTGGTGCCTGGTTTACCTGGTTGCAATGACAGTAAAAAATATCCTGGTTATCTAAGTGATTAAGTGTGAAAAGGGTGGAAGATGACATGATCGTTTTCGAGTTTCATGGAATGTAGACATAAGTTAAGCGTTTCGAAGACTAAATGGACTGCTGCAAATTATAGTGCCACATATCAGTGAAACTAAGAAAAGAACACAACGCATTAGACAAAGGTAGCAGGTAAATTTGGTTAATATTGGTATTCTGTATCTGCTTGTTCAGTAGTGTAGTGCTTTGAAATACTTATCTGGTGTTTCATATCGCATTCAATCACCCAGTTAATGTACAGTCACACATGCATCTCTTATTGTGCTTGATTAAAAAGGAGTTTCTCTAAATAAAATTCTTTCCTAGTTTCTGCAATACGAACGAGCTAAAAAGTGGGTACTTTTGCAATCAGTTTTTTGAACAATGCAAAAGTTCCTTTTTTTAATTCAGTAGTCAAATTGAACAATGCTTCTGTGTTTCAGGAGGAAGTGTACCCGTTTGCGGCCTGCTCACCGGAAGTTCACATTATCCTCAGCTTTGGATGGCTCTAAACGAGACCAGGCTACTTCCATGTCCCACCTTAACCTCATCAATGAGACTCACCTTGACCAGAACGGGGCAGAGCCGGACATGCACACACCTATGCTTAAACCCACTCCCTACGACTCCTCCACCAATGAGCTTGCGACTTCGCGTGGCGAGCTTCACAGCCGAGGATCCAACCACTACAAACACTCAGTTGAAATATTTCCTCTCAAATCGGCTTGCTCAAACAATCCCTCTGAAGGTTATGATTCCGCTGCTGGACGAGGGGAATACCGACGGAGCTATACGTCCATTACGACTTCGTCCGTCCATCCCCTCCACATGTCTGTCTCCTCCTCTTCGCCTCATACCTTGCATCACACCACCTCTGCAGGACGTCTCTCTTCGGAGAGTAAATCAAGCTTGCGGGATCAACGTCTGTCTCCTGTTTCGGCCGCAAGTCCTGCCGGATCTCCAGAACGGGAGCAAGGAATTGAGCGACGGACAACTGATTACTTGTTGTCCCGCTCTGTAGACCATCTAGAGCGTCCTGCCCCACTTCCCCGACCTGGAGCCCTGCTCTGCTGTACCTCCGAACTTATAGTGAATAAAGGGGAAGAAACCTACCGCAAGGCTCGCCCCACCCTCGTCATCCCAGCTCACTACATGAGACTTCCAGGGACGCACCCTCTGTCTGGCCAGGCACTGCTGTTGCAGTCAGATGTACAGAGCGAATTGGAAACCATTCAGGCGGAGCTCAGCGCATGCCACCAGCCCCAGGGTCAGGTTCTGCACAAGGGAGAGCAGGAAGGAGGGACACAAGGGATGGGGGAAGACCAGGGTGGAGGAGCTGATGAGTGGACACTGCAGACAGCAGCTCTTCCTGCTGATCTCTCCATCCCCAATTCTCTCAGTCAGGCAGGACTGGATGTGGTGCAGATGAACGGAGAAGATCAGCTTCTGGCTGAAAAGACTTTAATGGAGCTCAGGGGTGGGAAACCGCTCCCTCACCCCAGGGCTTGGTTCGTTTCTCTGGACGGACGCTCCAACGCGCACATCCGCCATTCCTACATTGACTTGCAAAGGGCTGGATGCAACAGCAGTTGTGTCGGAAGCAACGACGCCAGTCTGGACTCTGGTGTTGATATGAGCGACGTCACACCGGGGCGGCGTGTTCGTGATAAAGTTGTTGTTAAAACTGAACCTGAGGCTCAACCTGCAGCACCTGTGGTTGGACATACACCGGTATTGATTGTAGAGGATTCAAATGCCGATGAGGAGAACAGCGGTAGCCCCACGCCAGTCTGCAGCCCTGAAGAAAGTGCTCTAAAGGGTTTACTGCAGGAGAAACAGAGCGAAGAGGATGACGAAGGGACTTTGTCTCCTCCGTCACCTCCCCCTGAGATTCCTTCACCACCTCCTCTACCTGAGCCTGTAGTTGAAACTTCAGAGGATACAGGGATAGATGGTGAGGTTTTTAGGACTGAGGAGACTCCAGTACACATGAACAGCAGCCGGCCAGACAAACTGCTCGTCCCTGATGACGGAGGTGAAGACGAGAACAAGAAAAGTCCATGGCAGAAACGAGAGGAGCGACCACTACTGGCCTTTAACCTAAAATGACATGCCTTTCAATGAGATGGTACTCCCCAAATTCTGTTATCCTTTACTCATTGTTATGTTATTACAAACCTATTTGACTTACACAAACAACAGTGTACCTTTATCAATTAATGCATCCTTCTAAATATTGTACCCTGCAGAACTTCATCTGGGTTTACAACCTTGTGATTTGAAGGATGACAGAAGCTTTATTTTGGGATGAACCATCTCTTAAAGTGCTTCCCCTGTGGTCCCTAGCTGGACTGCTGAATGGAGTTGCCTTATGAGCGCAGGTCTGTGCGTGGCTGTTTGCCTGTGGCAATGAAAGCCAAGAAAGCCATAGCACAAATAGATATTGGAACAGGTCTGCCTCCAGACTGAACAAGGAAGAACAAACTGATGTTTCCAAGCAAAATGGACGTCATTAAAACCCAACAGTCTAATGCACAACGGCTATGGCTTTCCAGACATACACTTTGAGCAAAAAATATTGCAAGCCATTGTATTGAAGGTGAAATGTTGTTTATGCTTTATATGAGATGCTGCTGTTTTTGAGCAATATGACATCTAGTGGCCACATGTGTACACTGCAACTACACCACTAAGTGTTTCCCAGCACTTATTTTTATGGGAGGACCGGTGGAATGTCTTCCACACCTTAATAGATTTAAAGACACATAAAACCACTATAATGGGATCTACAATCTAAATCACACCTGTTTTAAGTTTTATTTGTTTCACGCATTAATGAGTAGAATACAGCTGAAGCTTCGTAAAGCCAAATAAGTTTACATAATGCATCATTTGTTCGCCTTTTGGCTGCGTTGAGCACAGATTTTCTTGTGCATTTCTTTCGTGAGTAGGATTTTTGCCAACACTATGCATTACTTTAAACTGAAGGATCATTGTAGCTTTAGTTTTGCCTTTTTTATTTGAACCACTGTGTTTTAATTTCATTGTATGTTGTTATTTTATTGCTTTTGCCTTATTGTGTGAAGTGGACGGCATGTTCAGACGAGAGTTGGATACAAACACACATGCATAAAAAGCCACCAGCTTTCCTTTTCCCAAACTCTCACTTTTGTCTTAAGTGCCTTTCTGGTGATCATTTATACACGCAAGTAGATTTCCTTTTCCACTGCATCATTATCAGTTAATGTGATGTTGTTCTCAGTATGTTGACATGGCATTACACTTCGTTGATCTCATTTTATGCGTGTTAGTGGTTTAATGTTGTTTCTGGAAATACAATGAGTTCCAACGGTCAAATCTGGGATCCAATTAAAAAATTGCCATGTACAATTTAATATGAATCACTTAAGATGTTGAGAGGATTGAAACAATGCGTAGTTAATGTAAAATGAGAAATATTTATGATTCAATTTAGATCAGATATTAGAAATTCAAGCTTGTTTATGCCGTTGCCGAGTGCTGCTGTCATGCTAAATGCCGTTTTTTTTTTCCAGTAAGCTATTCAAATATTCTGTTGACAGCAATACAAATATATATTTTACATGATTATTATTTTTTATTATTATTTTTTAAATATTTTTATATACAATTTTCACTAATAATCTCAGAGTTTTTTACCCTGCTCAACGTTCAGTGCGTTTGTGATTATGATTTTATATTTTGCTTGTATGTATGTACATATTCATTCACCCAGTTGTTTATGCCTGTGTGTTTCTCTGTGTGTCTGCTGCAGACGCAATATGCAGTGTGTGTTTGTACTGATGAAGGAATGAAAGCGATGTATCATGTTTTGAAAGCTGTTGAAGGTCTGGCTTGTTGCCTGGGTAACCACTTGGCTCTTCAGCAAATTACTTTGAATGTTTGTACTTCTGGTTGCTTGTATTATAATTCAGGCATATTATTCCAATAAAGCCGAAAAACCTCATCAACAGTGGCTGAACATCATTTTCACGATTTCTAATTACAACCAAGTCAAGAGTTTGAAATACATGCGCCATGTAATATTGAAGCGGTATTAATAAAAATGACTTGACTCAACACTTTAAATAAAAAGTATTGAAGAATGACTGGACGTGTTTCAAGTAAGGGTGTTTACACAACCTTGCTCATCAAATACTAATTAATAAATGTTATAGCTTTGAGGTCATGAATCAAGGGCTTTTGAACAGTTTGGTGAGATTTTACAATAATGTCAGAAGAGGTTCAAACTTAACAGTTTGATAAATAAAGGGACCAAGCCGAAAGTAAAATGAATGAATGAACTTAACCAATAGATCAAAGATGCCCAAACTAAGGCCAACGGGCCAAAGTTAGTTTGGCCTGCCATTGCATCTGAGAAGAGAGGGAGGAGAATGGGGCCTGTCTTTTCAAATATATATTTTGTTTGTTTTATTGTTAAAAGCTAATTGGAATGAAATGTTTTAATTAATTATTGTAAATTAATCAGATTAAGGTTAAATGTGTATACCTGATGGATAGAGGACAATGCAGAAACTTTGGTGAGCGAATGAAGGCAAGGGCAGATTCTGCTTTCTCTTAAAAAGTGGGCCTTTTGCTGTTGTTTACATCATTTTCCATTCACTTAAGAAGTATTAGTAGGTTGCATTTTAGTGATATTTTAAGCTTTTTTTTATGCTGGATTAGCTGGTTGCATGGTCATCATAAACTTTTTGATGCACCAAAAATATTTTCTTAAGTTTTAGAATGAAGAAATATGAGTACAATACTTATTTTTAATACAAATTTGTTATATCATTAGAAAAAATAGTAATATGTTAGGTTTAAATAAATATCATTCATTTAAATAACAAACTGGCCAGCACATTCAATCTTCTTCAGTCACATTGAAGCGACATGCAGCAGAGGATTATGCTTGGTGTTAAAGTCTTCTTCGATGGGTTATTTTCACAATTTATTATGGCATAGCAGTCAAAATGGGACAAATAAGCTCATGTATGGCACAAATTCTGGACCTTGTCAGTGAGGGGTGGGTCTTTCGAACAACCTGAACACGCCTGTCTACGGGCCTGTTCAGATTAATAATTGGCAGACAGTTTTATTCAAAGTGGCTTTCCAAAATTAGGAAGTAATCAAAGCAACAAAAAAAGGTAAATAATTTTATGATTCCCAATCTGATGAAAATTACATACACATACTGGCATACATGTGTTTTAAAAAGAAGAAAAATTGGAATGGAAAAAATAAAATTGTTAGTTTAAGATCAATACATATATAATTTTTTTTTTACAAACACACACACACAAGTGTTGAAACCAAAATCCTTATTATTTATTTGTCTATTTTTAAGAATGTTTGTTATAAAAGGGTCACACAAATTCAAATTATTATTATTACATATATATATATATATATATGTGCTAATATTGCAACAATTTAGTGATTGAAAATGATACATCAGAGCTATACGTTAGTTGCCAAATAAACATAATTGTCAAGACCTCAAAACTTTCTTTAGTTCAAACATTACTAATAAACCATTTAAACATGTTCATACTGTTCAAACCGATTCATTTAAACGCGTATCTTCGCGTTAACCTTTCCTCCTCTCTATTTGCACTCTGACGAGCTGTTAGTGGCAATAATCGGTAGACGGTGCTGTTTTCCGTCGTTTTTATTGAGTGGTTTCGTCGTGAGGATTTGCAGCAGATTCATCCATGATGGCGGAGGACAGCGAGTCCGCGGCCAGCCAGCAGAGCCTGGAGCTGGACGACCAGGACACCTGCGGCATCGATGGAGACAACGAGGAGGAAAATGAGCACATGCAGGGGTGAGCACGAGCCGAAAGACCCGCCGTCCGCCAGTGCGAGGATCACCCGCCGCCGTTTTGCTGCCACAGAGATGTAAACAAACGGTTAGCTTAGCAACCAGGTATCCATGAGGAGAGCTAGTGTATTTTAAACCAGCATACTAATATTATAGCTCGTTAATTATGTAGTGGGAAAACAGCGCTGCAATTAATGCATTAGGGAGACATTCCTGAGATATGCCGATATTTACTTAATGCAGCGTTTAATTTAAACTTGTTAGCTGTAGCTAGCTTGATTTTAATGTTAAAGCATTTATTAAAGCAATCGAATAAGTCATCCAGTCCTTTCTCTGCTCTATTTCGGTAAGTTACATGTGTTAGTCCGCGTTCTTCTGAAGTCGCCAGTGTTGTTGAGAGCAACACAATAGCAGAGGAAAGCATCCGTCAGCTTTCATTAGTGTGTCTTCATTGATTCTGAACAATACAAACACGCTTGATCCTCTTTATGAGCTGAGCGGCAGCATTGCAGAGTCGAGCATCTTTGTCAGCTCGAGGATGATGTGAACAGCTCTCTCTCTGTTGTTGTCAGGCAGACTAACATCCCCCAGGAAACACCATAAAGTTTGACCTGCTTCCATGAATGGACTGTCACTTGGTTTTATGGAAGTCACCCTCCGTGTGTTTGTCATAGCACATCGTTGACGCGTTCGCCTGTCATGCACGTCTCTGAACTGCTTAAACTGTTTTATGTATTGTCAGTAAGGTATATCTGCTTTGTTAAGGAGTCCTGGTGGTGATCTTGGTGCAAAGAAGAAAAAGAAGAAGCAAAAGAGAAAGAAGGAGAAGCCAAGCTCAGGAGGAACCAAGTCTGACTCTGCCTCTGATTCTCAGGAGATAAAGGTTCATTGATCTGGTTTAATGCATAGTATGATGCTGTCAGAAAATAGTTTTCATTTTTTATTTTTAGCAAAGCTGATTTGATCTCTGTTCCTGTCCTAGAACCCTGCCATTCCCATGCAGAAACTGCAGGACATTCAGAGAGCTATGGAGCTCCTGTCCACCTGTCAAGGTCCAGCCAAAAACATAGACGAGGCCACAAAGCACAAGTACCAGTTCTGGGACACTCAACCTGTGCCCAAACTCAGTAAGTCATACATCTCTGCATGCTTTTATTAGTAAATGTATGCAATGTATGTTTCATTATTGCTCAAACAGTGTTGCATTTACCAAGATAATCAACTTATTGTGCATTTAGGAAACATAATCTTACCATAAACATTAGAATGAGTCTAATCACAAGCATAATACTGATTTCTTTATTCATTCTTTCTGCCATGGTTACTGCATGTTGCTCGTAAAAGCTTTTTTTTAGATTTGGACATTATGACCAGCTCAGAATTGACCCTTTGCTAAGCCCCGCCCTCCTTAGTTACTGTTCTTACGCCTGTCAAGCTTTCGTGCCTGGCACGTCTATTACAATGTTATGTATGCACCGGTGTCAGACATTCCCAGGGATATAATTAGTCATTTTTGGCGATCAGGTGAGAAATCTGAGAAAGCCACACAATAAAGAACTGTAGTATGCACTATAGGGGTATATTCACATCATAATAGGCAACCGATTAGAAAATACTTTTAATTAAAATTAAAGCCTAGCCATTTCTCCACTCAAATGAATTTCGGCTTGGACCCGGAAACAGTACTACATACGTCACAAACACGTCACCACTTAACAAGCGGATACTACGGACAATTTAGCTCACCCAATTCTTCTATAGCGCATGTCTTTGGACTTGTGAGGGAAACCGGAGCGCCCGGAGGAAAACCCACACGAACATGCAAACTCCACACAGAAATGCAAACTGCTCGAACCAGTGACCTTCTTGCTGTGAGGCGACAGCGCTACCCACTGCGTCGCCCTAATTTAGAGCTGTGTACAATGCAAATTAATTCTTACGAGAAATGTTCTTAGGAGATTGAGATTACAAAAACATTGTAAAATCCCTGCTGTACATACATAAAGGATCATCACTGAAAGTCTTACAGCTGCTTATGTTTCTTTGCAGATGAGGTGGTGACAACACATGGACCAATTGAGCCTGATAAAGAAAATATCAGACAAGAGCCATATTCCCTCCCACAGGGTTTTATGTGGGACACGCTGGACCTTAGCAATGCTGAAGTGGTACGTACATGCATGAAAGGACTGGCTTTCATTGTGTAAAATGTTTGTACTTTGTATTTGCTATTCATTGTGATTTGTTAAAATTGTAAAGAATTGTGATTGTTTTTCTCTTTTGTCTTGTAGCTAAAGGAATTGTACACTTTGCTGAATGAAAATTATGTTGAGGACGATGACAACATGTTTAGATTTGATTATTCTCCTAATTTTCTAAAATGGTAAGTAATGGTTTGGGCATCATTTTTTGTTTTTAAAGTGGAAATTTTGTCATCGTTACTCACCTTAATGTCATTCCAAACCCAGAACTTTGTTCATCTTTATAAAACAATCAGATATTTATATCAAAATTGAGAGATATTTTGTCCATTAATTGAAAATATGTTTACCCAAAATGTTAATGCTTCAAAATATCAATTAAAAAATCTGATTTTTAGCCAATCATTGAGTTTATATATTTATGTAAATGTGTGTAAATTTATATTTATTTAGTTTTTTTTAAATTAATTTCACTAATATTTTTGTAATATAATAATAATAAAATTAAAATTTACAATAAAGTTTGTAAAGCAATATTTTAGTTGATATAATATATGAGATACTTTATCTAATTTGATTTGCATTACAAACATTAAATAAAGAAAAAATTAAAAAGGTATTGTTTTTTTTATTTTGTATGTTAAGCTTTTAGTTATGATACCGCAGAAATAGCAAAAAATGTCTGCATATTCTGTCCGGCCCTAGTAATGCCTTTTTTTCACAGAGCGATGCAGTATAGTTCAGAACAGGTCACCCTAATCAGGCTTGTCTTTTCACTGTCAACAGTAGCCTTAGCTTGTAGGCCTGATGTACACCTGAAAGTTGTGACTGACACCATTCTCAGTCAAAGAAAAAGCTATATGAACACAAGTTTATTATTTCAAACATAGATACATGGCTAATGCACTCAAATAGAGAGAGGAAGCAGCACAAAAAAATGTTCT